GCCTCGGCCTCCCAGAGTGCTAGGATTACAGGCGTGAGCCACCGCGCCCGGCCTGGAATTATATTTAAAAACATTCCTGTACTATATTTATAAAGCAAATAAGGATTTAGTCCATTCTTTTATACCGTGCTTTGCTTGTCTATCCTGCCCTCCCCTTTCCTCCCTGACTCCGCCTTCCCTCCTTGCCTTCTGCCCTCCTCCCTCCCCTGTCCCCTGTCCCCTGCTCTCTCCTCCTGCCAGGGACCGTGCTTAGTTCACGCCATGGAGCGTGCGGGTCACTGAGCTGCAAAGACAAATGCTGTAACGTGGTCCTTGCCCTCAAGGATCTCACAGTCTAACGGGCTTGCAACAAAAATCAATGTTTATAGTAATAAAGCTATGCTGGGTTGTTGCTAAAAGCCAGTGCCTCCTGAATAATCATGAAAAGATTATTCAGCGGAGTTGTAATGCTATTTTATTGTATTTCGTTTTATTTTATTTCTTTGTAATTGAGCAATTTTCATATTCGGTTTCTTGTGAAATTCCATTCCGTAAATGGAAGCGTGCTCTAAATTTTAATGTTCTCTATCATGTTATCATTAGGGCTGACCCACTTCAATGGATAGAGGTCAACTCGGCCAGTTCCATAAACTTACTGATTTAATAAACATATATTTGGGCACCTACTTTGTGCAGAGAACCTTAGTGAGGTGTCGGGCATAGGAGAAACAACAGGATACCAGACCCGGTATCTCCCCTCGAAGGAGTTTGCAGAGGGACACACAGCCAGGAGAGTGGGGGAGGAGGCGGTGTGGGACAGCAAGTTGTCGAGATGTTTGGGGGGGACTGAGAGGGAACCAGCCAGCTTTAAAATTCTTCCAAGAAACTGTGTTGTGGCTAAAGGAAGGAGCCACTTTGCTGTCTGTCCCAGACCTAAGCCGGTGCTGTAGAGGCCTTTGTGGGTCTCGAGTCACATCTGTTGCCTGGGAATTAGACACGCTTGTGTGTTTAACACTAGGCAAGGCACTGTGTATAGCCTGCCAAAGAAGTCCTTGCTTTGAGATTCTTACATAAAGACCAAATCGCGTGCACTTATAATTAAAGAGCTCTACTCATGTCTGGTCACATAGATACATACATGGTAAATAGGAAAGCAAGCAGTTAAAGTTGCATGAAAGTGGGCCTTATTTGTACTTCTAATAATAATAGCAACATTTGATGATGACTAGCTATGTATTAGGCACTGCATACATTCCTTACATTCAGTATCTCAGTTCACCTTCTCAGCAACCCAGTGTAACAGCTAATTTTTTCCCCTTTTTACAGTTTTGGAAACTGAAGCTCAGAGAGGTTAATCAACTGGTCCAAGGTCCCCCAGTAAAGGGCAGAGTCGTTGCTATTACAATATTGCTTCTCACCACTGAAAACCATGATCATTCGTCCCTCTATATAGGACAAAGATCTTTATTTTATTACAACAATGACTATAGATAGTAATAAATGATGTACTTTAATTTCATGAGCCTCTTTAAATTCTAAATCTGGTATATTTCTAAGGAGAGCCCCAAAATAAATCAATATTCTTTTTCAATGGCAACTTTATCAAAGTAGTTCTTACTTAAGCTAACAAATGTTTATTCTTCTCATTGTAACTATAAATAAGGTCCGATTAATGACTTATGAGTCACTGACCGATATTTGCCAACATTACTGTTGCTTTTCCATTAGAGTTACTGCACGTGCAAAGTGAGGAGGACGCCAAAGAGGGCTGGTTAGTGGTGCACATGGGGTCACACTGTGTGTCTAGGGTCTCTTCGGTTCAGGAGGGCTACTCTGTCTGAATGGAGGGGGAGTTATGCGTTGATCTTGTATTTGATACACTCAAACAGAATACAGCCAGGAGATGATAAATCTTCCTAATTTCTTAGTTGACTTGTCACAGGACCAGATTAGAAAGTTATTAATTTCCTAAGAACAGTGTCATTACTTTCGCTGCCTAATTACCCTCCAAACAAATGCAGGGTCTGTCCGTATAGATGGTTCGTGAGAAAGGCTCTAGCATATCTTGGATTGAAGTATGTTAACTCATTTATGAGCTTATCTTCAGTGAGTCTTACCCTGACCTATTTGGGGAATCATAATTATTAGAGGAGAGAGCATTCTAAAGTTCTGAAAGCACTTATATACAAAGGAAAGGTGAGAGATTTGGTATATCACATGGTGGAAAAAGCCTTAGTTTACAGGCTTAAGAAACCAAGTTATAAAGGGGTTGAAATCAAATTGGAATATTCCCAATCTTTGGTCATCCAGCACTCTCTCAAAGGCCTTCCTTCCCAATTTGCTGGGTTGGCTTGCCTGCGCAGCTCACTGATGAAACACCTTCTTATCTTGAGTTCTCCACCGTGCCAGGTGCATTGAGGATTACAAGCTGGGGATAGATGGACGCTCTTGCCAACTCATCACGGAGACCTGCCCGGAGGGAGGTGACTGTGGGGAAAGCAGGGAGCTTCCCATGAACCAGACCCTCTTTGGGGAGATGTTCTTTGGTTACAACAACCATTCCAAGGAAGTGGCTGCTGGACAGGTGCTGAAAGGAACATTCAGGTGAACTTCATGTGCATAGAACTGACTATTCGGGTCTGTTGGTGGATCTCTTCTCGGAAGAGCTTTACACTCAGCATAAAGTTTTGTATCTTGAAGCAAGGTAAATGTGATATGCCTAAAGGGATAGACGATGTTCTCACCCATGGACTTCTCCAAGTCTATATTCCTTCTTCCAGAATCCAGGCTTTTTCTGGGTGAACAGTAAAATGTTAAGTGAGGTTTTACTTTGCCCAGGGAGGGACGGCAAGATTTTGCGTGGAAGCCACACCAAAATGCTCACGTTCCATTTCCCTCTGAATGGAAGAATCGAGGTGTGAGTCAGTCGAGATAGCAGTCCTCAGAGCGGGATCTAAGGATCTCTGAAGGGCTTCGAAACTCTTCTAGGGCATATTCAAGGCCCTGCATTTGCCAGCTACAGAAAAGCTGGATTTTTTTTATGTCCATCAATCCAAACAACATAGTTCAATAAACTGAATTCAGAAGTGAGAATCCAGCTGCTTCAAGTCAGACATTTTAAAAATTTGCAAAAACATGTAAAGTAATGCCACTCCTCTTGTTTCTCATAAAATATGTTAATATTGACTGGATCTATTTTTGTTAATTTAAAATGAATTAATATGTTTTTAAAATTTTGGCTTTAATTTCTAATATGATAAATATTGATAGATATAATTGGGATCTTATTATATAAATATGATAAAGCTACTTGGGGCCTTCAGTTATTTTTAAGAGTGTAAAGGGGTCCTAAGAACAAAATGTTTCACACCACTGATGTAGAATATTTCTACGTGATTCTCTGTTTGACACCTATTCCTGTTTTACCTTAGACTATTTGAGTACATCTTTTTCACAACCCATTGGAAAATACTTCCAGGAGATGATGGTGGTGGTGGTGGTGATGATGATGATGATGATATCAGTGTTATGATATGAACCAGCAGTTGATAGCAACCTGGCCTAGACTTTTATGAGCAAACTAATTGTAAATTTCCAAGACAGTTCTTGGAGTCAGTTGCTCTTTCCATTGCAGAATGGAGACTTTACTAATATTTTGCCTTTTAGCCTAGATATTTGTTTGCCAAAGGCAAGAAGTCAAGTATCGCAATTAATTTGTGGTGGCTGTGGCCTTCCCCATAGTCTAGAAATGAGACCAAGTGTGTCCAGATCTTGTCGAGAGAGGGCCAGGGAGTAGGGACTGGGATGGGAGGGAGGGAAGAGTATTTGCTACCCTTTCAGTAAACCTTTTCA